GACACATTCTGGAAAGTTTTTTTGCTCATAGATGGAGGTCAAACCAGTACTCAAATAATCGCACCAGGATCTCAAACACCCAAGGGTGGCCACAACAGAGTTCATGGCATCCACTGGCCATTTGGGGGAACATAAAATCAAAATGTTATTGGAAAAAGAGTTTTCTTCTTCATTTAGGCATGCCCGTGTTTAGTGGAGCACACTGAGTAGGTAAAAAGGGAGAGGCTAACTTTCTAGAAAATTACATCTCCATCACAATAGATGGGTGACTCTGAGCATATGTTACAGTTATTTACTCTGAACACTGCCTTACGGTACGGTGAGTTCAAATCCAGCCCAGGGCAGAAATCTGAAATAAAAGAAGATAGGCATATTACTCCAAATCTACTTCTGTCAATGGAATGTATGGAGGGAGGGAGGGGAGAGGGACAGCAGAATATTCAGATGGTGCTGAAACTATTTTTGAGAAAAGAAAAGAAACAAAGCAAGTCGATACTGGTTGAGGGGAAGGATGATAAGAGTAGAAAAGTAGATGGGAATGGGGGAGTGGGGCTGTGAGATCAGGTTGATTGGTGAGGGGTTGGGGATAGGAGCAGTGGGAGAAGACATGGACATGAGAGTTAGTGATGGGCAGAATGGAGACGGGGCACCTGTCAGCCCATGTTCCCTTCCCATGTGAGTGCCATGATCTGGGGCCTCCCAACCTCTCTAAGGGTATGTCTACACTACAAAGTTAGTTCGAACTAACGGACGTTAGTTCGAACTAACTTTCATAGGCGCTACACTATCGCTCCGCTAGTTCGAATTTAATTCGAACTAACGGAGCGCTTAGTTCGAACTAGGTAATCCTCATTCCACGAGGATTAAGCCTAGTTCGAATTTACTAGTTCGAATTAAGGGCTGTGTAGACCCTTAATTCGAACTAGTGGGAGGCTAGCCCTCCCCAGGTTTCCCGGGTGGCCACTCTGGCCAGCACCAGGGAAACTCGTCTGCCCCCCTCCCAGGCCCGGACCCCTTAAAGGGGCACGGGCTGGCTACGGTGCCCGTGCCAGGTGCAAGCCTGCCAGCACCCAGCTAGTAGACC